TTAATGGAGAATACAGTTTTCTTTTAGAATGATGAAAATGTTTTGGAATTAGATAGAGATGGTGATTGTACAGCATTGTGAATGTACTAAATGCCACTGAATTGTTCACTTTAAAATGACTGGTTATGCTAATTTCACCTCAACCAAAAAATGACATACAGTACTCAGATTTTAAAAAGCATCACTTCACCAAGATTCCACGAATTAACGTGAGATGATCAAAGAGAAGTCAGTGGAATCCTTCAACTTTGAACATAAAATAGTCCTAAACTCAAACCTTTGTGATACTAAAGCAGGAAGATGGTATGTGATAATTTTGGAAAGTAAAAATTACTCGTTTACTTGATCCCGAACTCGAACTTTTTTTTTTTTTTTTGACACGGAGTCTTGGTCTGTAGCCTACCTAGGCTGCAGTGCAGGTGCGCGATCTCGGCTCACTGCAGGCTCAGCCTCCCGGGCTCAAGAGATTTTCGTGCCTCAGCTTCCCTAGTAGCTGCGTCTACAGGCGCCCGCCACCACGCCCGGCTAATTTTTATAATTTTAGTAGAGACAGGGTTTCGCCATGTTGGCCAGGCTGGTCTCAAATTCGTGACCTAAGGTGATCCTCCGCCTTGGCGTCCCAAAGTACTAGGATTATAGGCGCGAGCCACCGCGCCCGGCCTTGCCCTCCTATTTTCGTACCATGAGATGCACAGTGTCCGGGACCGAAGTGGGGCTCCACTGGCGCCCAGCTCCAAAACTCAGGGAGAGTGGAAAAGATTAGACAGGGAAGGGGCTAATCCTCAGAATTACACGCGGGCTTGCCTCACCAGACCACCGCTACTACAGTCACTGCCTCATACCAAAATCCAGCCGGCTTCGCGTCCCAGGCCCTGATTAACCTCGACCCAGGAAGTGCCGCCCACCAGTGCTCACTTCCGCTATCCTGTACATCTGCCCATCTCGCGAGAACTGAAAGCCCCTATGTGACATGCGCTAAGCGGAAGTTGCTCTCTTTTCCGTGGCGCCTGGAAGGCGTATAGCTGCTTCAAGATGAAGGTAGGTGGTGGTAGCTATCGTTGGATTGGGTTTGAGTAGCGGGCATCGAGTGCCAGAACGTGGCGTTGCCTCAGCCTCAGCACTCGAAGATCCTGGCTTTAGGTGGAGAAGGATCTCAAGTAGGAGAAGGCTCGCCTTTCTGGGGCATGGAACTTTTTGGTGGAGCGGATGGCGGGCGATTGCGGCTGGAGTAGCCGTGGGTCGGGAGCGCCTTGGTGACGTCCGGGCGCCCAGCCGGGTCGGAGGCGGCGTGCTGCCTGATTTGCGGCAGGCCTGTGGTGCGGCTTTTGACCCGGCTTTTTTGCTTCGGGACGGTGAACGGCTGCGGAGCGCCCTTCCAGAGTCATTCGACGGAGCTTGAGGGCAAAACGTGTCATCTTGAGTGCGGCGTTTGTCGACTGATACTTAGTACCGTCGGCGTCTCATATTTCCTGCTTGTGTGAAGGCAACATGAAATGCTTTTTGCTGTGGAATTAACTTTGTAGGTGGCTCTACAAATACCGGTGTAGGTAGTTTCCTAAGCTATTTTCCTCCTCTTAATCCTTAGCTGAACATCTCCTTCCCAGCCACTGGCTGCCAGAAACTCATTGAAGTGGACGATGAACGCAAACTTCGTACTTTTTATGAGAAGCGTATGGCGACAGAAGTTGCTGCTGACGCTCTGGGTGAAGAATGGAAGGTAAAACTTGACAGTCAAATTGTTGCAGGTAGTCAGATATCATAAACGCCATTGGTAATTGGTATTTGGAACGGGGTTCAGACTCCGGGTTCTGGCTTCTGCCTTTTGGTAAGTTGTCTCCGAATGTCACTCTATAAAGTGGACCTATTACCTTGGAGGGGTAATGTAGAGTAAGTCGTAAAATATGCGTAAAGTTTACATCAACATAATTTTTGCCCTGTATCATGCATTCGGCAGATGTCACATAGCTGTCCTGGTAATCCGCAAAGTGCCAAGAAGGGTTGTATCTTACGTGTTTGTTGCTCTTTGATATTTTACTTTATCTTAGTTTATCTAACTTTATCTTAGTGCTGTTATCTCTAATAAAACATCGGTTATAAATGCGACTTGAATGAAAGACATTTGATAATTGACCTTGACAAGTTGGTAATGTAGACAAAGCTTACTGATGAGAGAAATCGTGCTTATTAAGTTCAAGTTGGTCTTAATGAATTATACTTTATCACATAGTAGGTGTGGTTCACAGAGGTTACAATCCTGTACTGTGTAATTTTGAAATAGAAATAGTAAATGTGTCATTCATTGTATGCTTTTGCAGGGTTATGTGGTCCGAATCAGTGGTGGGAACGACAAACAAGGTTTCCCCATGAAGCAGGGTGTCTTGACTCATGGCCGTGTCCGCCTGCTACTGAGTAAGGGGCATTCCTGTTACAGACCAAGGAGAACTGGAGAAAGAAAGAGAAAATCAGTTCGTGGTTGCATTGTGGATGCTAATCTAAGCGTTCTCAACTTGGTTATTGTAAAAAAAGGTGAGCATTTTACTTGTATTCAGTTTTGTTGAAATTGAATTAAAGCCAGTTGTCCAAATGCTTATTCGTTTGCAGTATCCAGACTTAGACCAATGGATTTCCATCGATTCAACATTAAACATTGATTTAGGCTTCTTAATTATAAGGAAGCAACTGAATTAAAATTTGTTCAATTGTTTCTTCTAAGGAGAGAAAGATATTCCTGGACTAACTGATACCACTGTGCCTCGTCGCCTGGGGCCCAAAAGAGCTAGCAGAATCCGCAAACTTTTCAATCTCTCTAAAGAAGATGATGTCCGCCAGTATGTTGTAAGAAAGCCCTTAAACAAAGAAGGTAGGAGGAGTGATACAATTAGGGCTTGCTTAATTTTGGTAATTTGTCAGTAGCATTTTGTGTGCATATCAGAAGATAAAATGTGTGCCTTTGGCACTATTCAACTGGAGTCTGAGTTTTTACAAAAAATATTTTGGGGGGTGGCCAGATACCCAACTGATACTAATCCTTGGTTATTATATCTAGTGCCTTGCAGAGTGCAGTAATATTAATATTTAGGAGATGAGAGCACACTGTGTTGCCCAGGCCGGTCTTGAATCCTTGAGCTCAAGTGATCCTCCCACTTTGGCCTCCCAGAGTGCTGGGTTTATGGACGTGCGCCATCGCACCTACCCCTAAACTATTTTTTGGCTTTGGAAACAAGTTGCTTTAAATTTCTCCTGTTTCATCTGTAGGATATGGATAACACTAGTTGTGAGAATTAGAGACCTTATTCAGAATATTAGGGAGCAAGCGTTTGGGATTTTGGTACTTTACCTTTTAAGAACTTGTTGTGTCCATGTATTAGACAACATACCAGTGAGGACCTCAAATAACATTGGTATTTCTGTAGTGAAATTTGGTAATATTTATGTTAAGTAGAATAAATAGCACATCAGTCAGGGTTGGGTTTTCTTACAAAATCTGAAAGAATTTCTCTGGATTTTGGTTTTCAGGACTGGTGTGACTTAGCACCTGTATGTGACATACCTAGTACGTGCCTGTTAAGTTACTAATTACAGTTACTTGCACAGCTCTGGAAATAAACAGTATAATGAAAGCATGGTCTAGTTAATGGGTGTTTTTTAGATGGTTCTTATAGTAGGAGTCTTTAACATTTTAGCAGAACCTGGACAATCTGAGCATTTAACCTAAAGCAATTAACTCCCACAAAGTGTCCTGAAATGAATACATCTGAAAAGGCTTATGCTCCAATGCAGATCTATAATCCATCAGCCGTTTTGGAGTACAGATCAGATTAATGAACATATTTTAACATCATGCCACATAATCTGATGTTAATAGTTGCCCCAAATTGGGAGGAATTGTCAAGGAAAATAGAGATGCAAGCTTACATCAAACCTACACTTAAAAGTATGGCAGGATGATCACGTAGATAATGTGTGAAGTGGTTTTCACAGACAAGTTGACTATCCGTTTAAACTGGCAGATAGTAAAAGCCTGGTTATTTTTCAAGACTTCAGTTTTAATCCATCTTCTAGATGTCTGTGGAGGGGCAAAAAGTATTTTAGAATAGTTCTGATTTGATTTTAAAGGCCTTATACAGGTTTTCATAGATTGTTAACTCAATGAAAGCTTACATCCATTTCTGATGTTTTTAAAGTAGATGTGGATTCTAACAAAACAAATACTGAAATTATTGAGTCCTTTGAATTTTTAGGTAAAAAACCTAGGACTAAAGCACCCAAGATTCAGCGTCTTGTTACTCCACGTGTCCTGCAGCACAAACGGCGGCGTATTGCTCTGAAGAAGCAGCGTACTAAGAAAAACAAGGAAGAGGCCGCAGAATATGCTAAACTTTTGGCCAAGAGGATGAAGGTTAGTCTAAGATTATCTGAGGGGGTGGGAGGAGTTTGGCCTGGCTTTGGATTTGTGCCTTTACCCCAGAAAGGCCTTAACCATATGCTGGTTTGTTTTGTTTTGTTTAGGAAGCTAAAGAGAAGCGCCAGGAACAAATTGCGAAGAGACGCAGACTTTCGTCTCTGCGAGCTTCTACTTCTAAATCTGAATCCAGTCAGAAATAAGATTTTTTGAGTAACAAATAAATAAGATCAGACTCACATCTGTGTTCAGATTTTTCATTGCTGATAGAAAACGACATAAATGAAGAGAGGGCAAGTTTGGTCATAGAAAATGGGGATATGCATATAGTAATCCAATGGTGGATAAAATCAGACCTGTTGTGTGGCAGTGGAAGACAAGGTCTCGGTAAAAGGATTCTTCTCGGGATGGGTGGCACAGGAGGGGATTCTCAGCAGAAGACAGCTTGCCTCTTCAAAAAGGCATGAAACTTGGGGAAAATAATGAGGACTATTAATCTTTTTTTATATGGTTTATTTAGAGAAATACAGCTCTTTAAAACACTATGCACAATTTAATACATGAAAATTGCCCTTGTGAAGATGAACTTTTTTTTTTAAAGAAAAAGTAACTTTTAAGGCATAGTTTTAGTGGATACCATCTTAAAAGTTTTTTAAACCAGTGCAAATTTGCTTTAACAAAGCTTTTCAACTCCAGTGAATTGTTATGCTGTTTCACTCTGAAAAAGAACTGACTATATTTTTTTCTAATAGTTTTTATGCTATTATTGTGACAATATCAAAATCTTTACAAGAAGGCTCATTGGGCTTTAAGGTTGAAGTAATGCAAGCTTTTTATTTGTTAGAACTGCTGTAATAGCTTTACAAAGTAAAGTTTGAAATGTACATGTGAATCACCTAGGGGTCTGTTTTTTTATTTATTTATTTATTTTTACATTAAAATGCTCCCAGGTGTGAGGACAGCAATGGTGGCCTCAGTCCCTGGATGCCTACCAAGATTCTTAAATCTATTCCTCTTACTACATGGTGTTAAAAAGCTACATAACATGAAAAGAATCTTAGCTGGTGATTAATACAGAATGCAGAACTTAAAAGGCAAAGAGGAGGCTGAGGCAGGTGCTAAATGAAGCCAGGTGTGGTGGTGGGGGCCTGTAATCCCAGCTACCTGGAAGGCTGAGGCAGGAGAATCATTTGAACTGGGGAAACAGGTTGCAGTGAGCTGAGATTATGCTACTGCACTCCCACCTGGGAGATGGCAAGACTCCCTCTCAAAAAGCAAAGGGGAGAAATTTAGCAGTTTACCCAAAGTTAAAAGGACTGATAAAACCGGAGAGGAACTTAAAAGCCATAAGATGAGTCCGGTGTATGATCCAAAGTTTTGTATGATGATGTACAAAACGTGAGAAACACCCTTTCTGAAATGAGTGCAGCCACAAAATAAGGATATTCTTTAAGGTTCTCCTTAGACTTCTTTTTTGCTTTGAGACAGGTTTCACTCTGCCCAGGCTGGAGAGTAGTGGCCTGGCTCACTCCAGCCTTGACCTGGGTTCAAGTGATTGTCCCACTTAAGCCTGGGACTATAGGTATGCAGTGCCACACCTGGCTAGTTTTTGTGCTTTTTGTAGAGTTCTGCCTTGTTGCTCAAGCCACTCTTGAACTCCTGGGCTCAAGTGATCTGCCTGCCTTGGCATCCCAAAGTGTTAGGATTACTACACATGTGAGCAAGTAGTAAGTTCTCCAAAGACATGCAAGTCATTCTGAGGTCATTATGCAGGTTGTGATCAACCTATACAATTTCATTAGTTGGAAGAAAAAAAATTGCTATCAAGCCCCAAACCAATATAAGGTACCACTAAGTAATCTGGACTAATTTGAAAGAAGCAATCTTTCAAAGATTGCTTTGAAAAAAGTAATCAGGATTAAAGTTGCATACAGTGCTACAAGTCATTCTGGGCATTTCTAAATCTTTCCATAGTAATGTTTTTTTCCTGTAAATTTTTAGTGGTGCCCTCTCTGTGGTGGGCATTGGAAAAAGCCTTTAAGAATTTATAACAAGAAATCAGTCCCAATATCTAAATGGCAGCAGCAGGCTAAGGTTTTCAAAGTATGATTGTTAAAGTTATTGGAAAGTTCACAATTTGATACAGCCATATATTATCTTTACAGATTTTTTTAAATGGGAAGTGCTTTGGCAAGTGAAAATTCGAGTTAGACTACAGTGAAGAAATGGAAACAAAATATTGGAATTCTAAAGATTACAGATTTCAGGAGGCTTAATGTAACAAAACACAGCAAACATCATTTTATTCAACCTCAATTTCTATATGCAAAGTAATTCCAAACTTTCTATTGGGTCAGTAAGTGTTAAGTATTAAAACTAGTACCAACTCTTCAGTTGCAAAAATATATACTCTGAGGCAGTGCAAAATATCCATTTTGAAGGTAATGAAAATTGTACATAATTTCTGAAAAGTTTTTTAGCATTTTCACAATAAATTCACACTAAAATTCTGCACAGGTCAGATTAACCCTGAAATGTTCGAAGTCTGGTACAATAACTAATTTGTAAATGGTTACATAGGTAGAAGAGAATTATGCTGTTACTGTACCATATGGAAGTAATTTTACCATGTCAACTGATTGAGTCATCTACATAATTACTGTAAACACACATAAAACCACTGGCTTTTTAAATCATGCAGAGTTAAGGCAAACTTACTGTTCCTAAGGGATAGTTTTAACAAAAGGCATGATAAATGTCAAAGTGCGGCATGTGAGATCATGATTTTCTTAAACCTCCTACTGGTAACAAGCTTAATTTAAAATTTTAAGACTTAATTGATCCAAACTAAAAAACAGTATTTACAAATGCACATTTTTACTCACAAGCATACAAATCTAAATATCATACAAGAATAAAACTGTGTGCAGTGCAAGTTTATCCCACAGGTTTTAAAAACGATCAATACCAACAATATATGTGCCTGAACAAAGACTTCACGTTCAATGACATACACTGTAGCATTTTAAGCATGTTCCAATTAATTTTGTAAATTATTAGGCAGCTGATTTATTTTCATTTTAACTATCTGATGATTGATTCATTTGTACCCATTTTAAAGGTATTACAAATTTAAATATTGGGAAGAGGATGGAAGTAACTGGATAGTCAAGATAAAATCCATTAAGCAAGATAATACATAATATGAAAAGTGTATTATGTTGGTGCAAAAGTAATTGCAATTTTTGCCATTAATAGTGGCAAAAACCACTATTACTTTTGTACCAACCTAATAAAGTCAGAGAAGGCAGCTCTCATCAAAATGAGACCCCTTTCAGAAAACTGTATTGCAACATGCAATCTATTTTAATAAATATATACTTCGAATATGGCTGTATATAAACATAACCTACACAGCCCTACACATATACACACTTACACAAATATGTTGCTGTCTTTTTTTTTTTTTTTGAGACGGTCTCACCCTGTCACCCAAGCTGGAGTGCAGTGACGTGGTCTCTGCCTCCCGGGTTCAAGCGATTCTCCTGCCTCAGCCTCCCAAGTAACTGGAACTACAGTTGGAGCGCCACCATGCCTGGCTAATTTTTGTATTTTTAGTAGAGACAGGTTTTCACCATGCTGGTCAGGCTGGTCTCAAATTCCTGGCCTCAAGTGATCCTCCCAAAGTACTGGGATTACAGGCATGGGCCACCATGCCCAGCCATGTTGCTCTTATAATTGAGACATTTCATTTGTTTTGGGGGTTAGGCAAATTTAATTTGCTATTCCCCAAACTCAGTAACTTCAAATATAGACAATGCCTAGAATGATATGGTTCCCACTATTTCTATCAAACTACTACAAATACTGAGGAATCCCGAAGTAGTTTTCCACAGAGGCAGAAAAACAGTCTAGGAGTTGAAAATCTTCAGTGTCAACAAGGCCTGTGCCTGGGACATTTAAATGGCATTTCATATTTTGAGATGATGCAATATGAATCATAATTCATTTTATGTTATCCCCAAGAGTTACTTCATTTCTGTTTTCACATTAGGATTTGGAAAAAAACTTTGAATGTTTCCAGATTAAATACAATCCCCAAGCCTTGTGTGTCAAAATTCTAGTGAATATTTAAATGAGAGGCGCTCCAAAACACTTCCTGCACCACTCCACACTGGCACTTGGTGGAACATCAATTTTCTGCAACTTGTCAAGAATCTCCGAAGACAGACTGTTGTATGCAATTCCATATTCATTGTCAAAGGCCTCTGAAAGAAATTTTCAAAAATGAAATTGTAATTTGTTAAGAAAGCAAATAGCCATTCATTTCAAATTGGCATTGAGTCAAATTACACATATTTGATCTACATATTTAGAAGCAGAAATCTTTTAAATCTTTTATACATACCAGCTATAATTTTAAAAATTATTTTAGAAAATAAAATTTACAACTTACTTTAGTAATCTTTCATTAACCAACTTACCAATATCAATATTCTCTCTTCCTAGAGACACTAATGATAAGAATAGGATTTCTCTGTATAAACTCCTGTAAAACAAATGTTTTAGAAGTTAATAGGCAAATAGCATAAAAATAGATGCATTTTTTAAAATGGTGAAGACAGATTAAGTTCTGTTGTCTAGTTAACAGTAATATACCTATGACAATGTCCTGGTTTTAATATTATGTTACAGTTATATGAGGTGACACATTTGGAGGAAGCTGAGTGAAGGCTACACTAAATTCTGTACTATTTTTATAACTTCTGCAAGTTTCTATTCCAAATTAAAGTTAAAAAATAATGAATGGGATAAAGCTTCACACTAGAAACAAAAATGGCTTAACTTTTTATGATATTTTAACAGTGTAAGTAAGACATAACTTTTAATTCTAATGTCTAATTAAAATTTACAAAAGCAGAGTCTTCTCTCACCTTTTGTCACTTGACAAAATAATAGATTAATTTCCAAGTAAGTTACGGGTCTAAAAACCCTTGGACACAAATAAAAAGGTGGTGTGGTCTCTTTACTATTTAACCCAATAGCAAAGGACAGTTCATGTTTATCTGATTTGTGAGCATTAAAATGTCACAAATGAAACACTCTTTGAGCTTCACGACTCAGTTGTTGAAGATGAGAGGAAAACTTAAGAAATGCACTGTATGTACATTAAAAAAAAGAGGAGGTAAATATAATGCTGATTCTAGTGACACTTCACATCACTCTCTTTTTTTTTTCAAACAGTTTCACTTTTGTTGCCCAGGCTGGAGTGCACTGGGGCGATTTCGGCTCACTGCAACCGCCGCCTCCTGGGTTCAAGCAATTCTCCAGCCTCAGCCTCCTGAGTAGCTGGGATTACAGGCATGCGCCACCATGCCCAGCTAATTTTGTATTTTTAGCAGAGACAGGGTTTCTCCATGTTGGTCAGGCTGGTCTCAAACTCCCAACCCCACGTGATCCACCTGCCTCGGCCTCCTAAAGTGCTGGGATTATAGGCGTGAGCCACCGCGCCCAGTCACATCACTTTCTTTAGAAGCTTGCCTATAGTCCCAGCTACTCAAGAGGCTGAGGTGGGAGGATCACTTGAGCCCAGGAGTTCTGGGCTACGCTGATTGGGTGTCCGCACTAAGTTGGGCATCAATATGGTGACCTCCCGTCATCCATATGGTGACGAGGTTACCTAAGGAGGGGTGAACCGGCCCAGGTCGGAAACGGAGCAGGTCAAAACTCCCCTGCCGATCAATAGTGGGATCACGGCTGTAAACAGCCACTGCACTCCAGCCTGGGCAACAAAGCGAGACTCCGTCTCTTTAAAAAACAAAAACAAACAAACAAAAAACTTCAGAAGCCGTAATATGACATTTCTAATATTACATTAAACTACAGATGCTTGAAGCGAGCTACTCATTACAGATTGTGAAGAAGGTCATCTCTACCTCAACCACTGAGAGTAAAAATGGATTCATCCATTTTCATTATCAATTCTTGCCCTGTCATCACTTCTGAGATTATCTTCAAAGATGCCATGACCTAAAAAACTTGAAGGGCACTGTAGAAACACTAGTAATGCTTGATATAAGCAATTATGCATACTTTTCTGAAGCTTCTATTGCAAAATTCACTTATGCTGAGGAGAGGATGTGTACTAATCCAAGCATATTAGCAGACAATAGGGACAGGAGCACAATAACTCCATATCCTTTGTAGTTCATTCCCTTTCCCAAATTGTTTCTACTTCTATTCCCATACAGTATTCTCTTATGTCCCACAAAAGAAAAGATGTGTGGGTATCACAGGCCCTGAATAAGTAGTACCTACATTTATCAATGTTAATACATTTATAGGTTTCCAGCAAACAGCAACAATGTTTCCAAAACAGAGTACATTTTAGATCAATGAATTATCTTAAAATGCAATCTATTACTCACTTTTTTTTGAGACAGGGTTTTGCTCTGTCGCCCAGGTGGCAGTGCAGTGCAGTTATCACAGCTTACTGTAACCTTGATCTCCTGGGCTCAAGGAATCTTCCTGTATAACCCTCGCCAGTAGCTGAGGTCACAGGCACCACACCCACCAAATTATTTTTTGTAGAGATGGGGTCTTGCTACATTGCTCATACGGTCTCAAACTCCTGAACTCAAGCAATCCTTCTGCTTTGGCCACCCAAAGTGCTGGAATTATAGGGGGAGCCACCGTGCTGAGCCCTCAGACACTTTTATTATGTGTTTCTGTTCAAGTAGGAATTCATATATTTGTGTAGCACTTTTTAAAACAGATGTTTTGCAATGAGTATTTCTTTTACAACTAGAGATATTTTTTAACGTAAGATAATTTTTTAAAAACATGAAACTATTGAGTGGTAGCAAGCAAAAAATACTGGATTATTTTTACCTTTGCCTTTTCATGCCTGGCTTCATCTGCTGTGAAAGCAGGTTGATGGGTTTAAGAACGTTATTATGCTGAATACTCTGCCTGATGGTTTCTACTAAAGTGCTTGTTGCTTGTTGTTCCTCTGACAGGAGAGATGATTTTTTTTCAGAATCTAGCAATAAGAACACAGTAAGTTTTATTTTCAATTATTATTACCACTTTTATCATTTTCTTTTTTTTAAGACAAGGTCTCACTGTGTCCCCCAAGCTGGAGTGCAGTGGCCTCGTTCATGGCTCACTGCAACCCTCACCTCCCAGGCTGAAGTGAACCTCCCACCTCAACCTCCCAAATAGATGGGACTACAGGTGTATGCCACCATGCCCAGATAATTTTTGTATTTTTTGTGAGAGATAGGGTCTCAAAGTGTTGCCCAGTTTGGTCTCAAACTCCTAGGCTCAAGCAATCTGCCTCCCAAAGTGCTGGGATTATGGGCGTGAGCCACCATGCCTGGTCCCAATTATTTAAAAAGTTGTTTTTTTTCTGCAGAGTTATGGCATTTTCTCTTTGCTTATCCAATATCACCTCCCTGCCACTAGTAAAATTACGTGGCAATGTACCCAACTAAAAAATATTTTTCCTGCTCCCTTCAAACAGGCAGACCTGTCATTCTGCCTTTCTCTTCCAATATATGGTGGCTTACTGCCTGAGGCTAAGATGTGATAGATTGTACTCCAGCAGCCATCTTATGACCATGAAGCAATCTTTACTGACAGTGAAGCAGATATAACAGAAGGAACCTGGGTCCCTGATGACACAGGAGTTGCCTAGCAGTACTAAACTGTCTAGTATATAACTTCTTTCTTTTTCAAAAATGTATTTACTTATTTATTTTTTGGAGACAGGATCTCATTCTGTTGCCCAGGTTGGAGCGCAGTGGCTGATCATTATAACCTTCAACTCCTGGGCTCAAGCAATCCTCCCCGCTCAGCCTCCCAAATAGCTAGGACTACAGGCATGCACCACCACAGTCAGCTGTAGAGACAGAGTCTTGTTATATTGTCCAGGCTAGTCTCAAACTCCTGGCCTCAAGCAGTCCTCCTGCCTCAGCCTCCAAAATCACTGGAATTGCAAGCATGAGCCAACATGTCTGGCCTTATTTTTAATTGATAAATAGAAACTGTATTTACTTATGGTGTACAACATGATGTAATTCATAACTTCTTTCTAGACAGTGTTTCACTGTCAGCCAGGCTGGAGTGCAGTGTGGTGCAATCATAGCTCACTGCAGCCTCGACCTCCTGGGCTCAAGCAATCCTCCAGCATCAGCCTCAAGTAGCTGACACTATGGGTGCATGCCACCACACTTAGCTAATTTTTTATTTTTATTTTTTGTAGAGATGGGATCCCACTATGCCCAGGCTGGTCTCAAACTCCTGTTCCCAAGTGATCCTCCACCTTGGCCTCCAAAAGACCTAGCCTGATTCACTTAGCCTAATAACTTTATATGAGAGAATAATCTTTACAACCATTTAAGCTTCTGTCATTTTCTATTACATATAGTAAAGTCTAGTGCTAATTAGAAGAAAAGTAATTTGGCCAGGTGCAGTGGCTCATGCTTATAATCCCAACACTTTGGGAGGCTGAGGTGGACGGATCACCTGAGATTGGGAGTTTAAGACCAGCCTGACCAACATGGAGAAATCCCATCTCTACTAAAAATACAAAATTAGCTGGGTGTGGTGGCACATGCCTGTAATCCCAGCTACTGAGGAGGCTAAGACAGAAGAATCTCTTGAACCCGGGTGGCGGAGGTTGCAGTGAGCTGAGATTGAACCAGTGCACTCCAGCCTGGACAACAGAAGCAAAACTCTATCTCAAAAAAAAAATAAAATAGCAATTCTAAAACTATTAAGAATTTTTTTTTTTTTTTGAGATGGAGTCTCCAGGCTGGGGTACAGTGGTGGAATCACAGCTCACTGCTGCATAGAATTCCTAGACTCAAGTGCTGGGATTACAGGTGTGAGCCACCACACCCAGCCACATTTTCCTTTTTTTTTTTGAGATGGAATCTCACTGCGATGCCCAGGCTGGAGTGCAATGGTGGATCTTGGCTCACTGCAACCTCTGCTTTCTGAATTCAAGTGATTCTCCTGCCTCAGCCTCTCGAGTAGCTAGGATTACAAGCATGCACCGCATGCCTGGCTAATTTTTTAAAAAATATTTTTAGTTGAGACAGGGTTTCACCATATTGGCTAAGCTGATCTTGAACTCCTGACCTCAAGTGATCCACCTGCCTTGGCCTCCCAAAGTGCTGGGATTACAGGCATTAGCCACTGCGCCAGGCCTCTATTTTCCTTTTTTTAAATATAAAGTTACATTTCACTTCATACTAATATGACTGAACTTTTAAAATATGTTTATATTACAGACTGAATTGTGTCACCCCCAAATTCCTATGTTGAGGCCCTAATTAGCAATGTGACTCTATTTGGAGATGAGGCCTTTAAAGAAATAATTAAGATTACATGAGGACATAAGAGTGGGGACCTAATCTAATATGGCTGGTGTCTTTATAAGAAAAGGAAACACCAGGGATGTGCGCATGTGCATGCATGCAAACACAGAGAGAAAAGGTTACATGGGCATACAGCAAGAAGGTAGCCATCCACAAGCCAGAGAGAGGCCTAGAAGAAACCAAACCTGCTGATCCCTTCTAGATTTTACATTTCCAGCCTCCAGGGAACTGTGAAAAAATAACTTCCTGTTGTTAAAGCCACCCAGTCTGTAGTATTTTATTATGGCAGCCCTAGCAAACTAACACAGTTTGAAAGCCACTTAATGTTTTTCCCATTAATTACCTATATTAATATTATTTGCTCATTTATCTACTGAATTGTATTTTTCTTATTGACTCATAAGGCTTCTGAATACATGAATAATAACCCTTTAAACCCCTTGTAAAAATATATTCTAAATATAAAAGATTAAAAATGAAGCCAGAACCTTTAAAACCAGTCAGTATCCATCAATACAACTGAACTTAGGATC